AAATGTTTTCAAAAATTCTGAGATATTCCTAAAAACTTTCAAAACTTCTTGGCACATATGGAAAACTTGTGGGAAAAAATTTAGATTGTTTCAAAAAAATTCTGGAACGTTCTAAAATGTTCTAAAAAACGCTAAAATGTTCCGAAAAATTCTCAAAACTCATTGAAACACATGGAAAACTCATTGGAAAAAATTTAGATTGTTTCAAACAAATTCTGGAACGTTCTAAAATGTTCCCAAAAATTCTGAAATGTTCCTAAAAATTCTCAAAACTCATTGAAACACATGGAAAACTCATTGGAAAAAATTTAGATTGTTTCAAAAAAATTCTAGAGCGTTCTAAGATATTCTAAAAAACTCTAAAATGTTCCTAAAAATTCTCAAAACTCATTGGAACAGATTGAAAACTCATTAGAAAAATTTCAGATTGTTTCAAAGAAATTCTGGAACGTTCTAAAATGTTTTCAAAAACTCTGAAATGTTCCTAAAAATTCTCAAAACTCGTTGGAACACATGGAAAACTTGTTGGAAAAAATTCAGATTGTTTCAAAAAAATTCTGGAACGTTCTAAAATGTTTCAAAAAAATGCTAAAATATTCCTAAAAATTCTCAAAACTCGTTGGAACATATTAAAAATTCGTTGGAAAAAATTTAGATTGTTTCAAAAAAATTCTAGAACGTTCTAAAGTATTCTAAAAAACTCTAAAATGTTCCTAAAAATTCTCAAAACTCATTGGAACAGATTGAAAACTCATTAGAAAAATTTTAGATTGTTTCAAAGAAATTCTGGAACGTTCTAAAATGTTTTCAAAAACTCTGAAATGTTCCTAAAAATTCTCAAAACTCATTGGAACACATGGAGAACATGTTGGAAAAAATTTGGATTGTTTAAAAAAAATTCTGAAACGTTCTAAAATGTTTCAAAAAATGCTAAAATGTTCCTAAAAATTCTCAAAACTCGTTGGAACATATTAAAAACTCGTTGGAAAAAATTTAGATTGTTTCAAAAAAAATTCTGGAACGTTCTGAAATGTTCTAAAAACTCTAAAATGTTCTTAAAAATTCTGAAAACTCATTGGAACACATTGAAAACTCATTGGAAAAAATTTAGATTGTTTCAAAAAAATTCTGGAACGTTCTAAAATGTTTCAAAAAATGCTAAAATGTTCCTAAAAATTCTCAAAACTCGTTGGAACATATTAAAAACTCGTTGGAAAAAATTATGATTGTTCCAAAAAAAATTCTAGAACGTTCTAAAATGTTCTTAAAAACTCTAAAATGTTCCTAAAAATTCTCAAAACTCATTGGAACACATTGAAAACTCATTGGAAAAAATTTAAATTGTTTCAGAAAAATTCTGGAACATTCTAAAATGTTTTCAAAAATTCTGAAATGTTCCTAAAATATCTCAAAACTCATTGGAACCATAGAAAACTTGTTGGAAAAAATTTAGATTGTTTCAAAAAAATTCTGGAACGTTCCAAAATGTTTCAAAAAATGCTAAAATGTTCCTAAAAATTCTCAAAGCTCGTTGGAACAGATTGAACCTCGGATTGAACACTCGTCGGAAAAAATTTAGATTATTTCAAAAAAATTCTAAAACGTTCTAATATGTTCCAAAAAATTTTAAAATGTTCTCAAAAATTTTCAAAACTCGTTGGAACATATTAAAAACTCGTTGAAAAAAATTTAGATTATTTCAAAAAATTTCTGGAACGTTCTAAAATGTTCCCAAAAATTCTAAAATGTGCTTAAAAATTCTCAAAACTCGTTGAAACAGATTGGAAACTCGTTGCAAAAAATTTAAATTGTTCCAAAAAAAATTCTACAACGTTCTAAAAAACTCTAAAATGTTCCTAAAAATTCTCAAAACTCATTGGAACAGATTGAAAACTCAGTGGAAAAAATTTAGATTGTTTCAAAAAAATTCTGGAACGTTCTAAAATGTTTTCAAAAATTCTGAAATGTTCCTAACAAATCTCAAAACTCGTTGGAACCATAGAAAACTTGTTGGAAAAAATTTAGATTGTTTCAAAAAAATTCTGGAACGTTCTAAAATGTTTCAAAAAATGCTAAAATGTTCCTAAAAATTCTCAAAACTCGGAACATATTAAAAACTCGTTGGAAAAAATTTAGATTGGTCCAAAACAAAATTTTAGAAGGTTCTAAAAATTCTCAAAACTCATTGGAACAGATTGAAAACTCATTGGAAAAAATTTAGATTGTTTCAAAAAAATTCTGGAACGTTCTAGAATGTTCCAAAAAAATTCAAAATATTCCTAAAAATTCCTAGAACCTATTGGAACAGATTGAAAACTTGTTGGAAAAAATTTAGATTGTTTCAAAAAAAAAAATCCAGAACGTTCTAAAATGTTCTAAAAAACTTTAAAATGTTCCTAAAAATTCTCAAAGCTCATTGGAACACATTGAAAACTCATTGGAAAAAATTTAGATTGTTTCAACAAAATTCTGGATTGTTCTAAAATGTTCCCAAAAATTCTGAAATGATCTTAAAAATTCTCAAAACTCGTTGAAACACATTGAAAACTCATTGGAAAAAATTTAGATTGTTTCAAAAAAAATTCTGGAATGTTCTAAAATGTTTCAAAAAAATGCTAAAATGTTCCTAAAAATTCTCAAAACTCGTTAGAACATATTAAAAACTCGTTGGAAAAAATTTTAATTGTTTCAAAAAAATTCTAGAACGTTCTAAAATGTTTTCAAAAATTCTGAAATGTACCTAAAAAATCTCAAAACTCGTTGGAACACATAGAAAACTTGTTAGAAAAAATTTAGATTGTTTCAAAAAATTCTGGAACGTTCTAAAATGTTTCAAAAATTGCTAAAATGTTCCTAAAAATTCTCAAAACTCATTGGAACAGATTGAAAACTCATTGGAAAAAATTTACATTGTTTCAAAAAAGTTCTGAAACGTTCTAAAATGTTTTCAAAAATTCTGAAATATTCCTTAAAAATTCTCAAAACTCGTTGGAACACATGGAAAACTTATTGGAAAAAATTTAGATTGTTCCAAAAACATTCTGGAACATTCTAGCTTGTGCCCAAACTTTCTAAAATGTTCCTAAAAACTCTGAGAACTTGTTGAAACAGATTGAAAACTCATTGAAAAAAATTTAGATTGTTTCATAAAAATTCTGGAACGTTCTAAAATGTTTCAAAAAATGTTAAAATGTTCCTAAAAATTCTCAAAACTCATTGGAAAAAAATTAAATTGTTTCAAAAAAATTCTGGAACGTTCTAAAATGTTTACAAAAATTCTGAAATGTTCCTAAAAATTCTCAAAACTCGATGGAATACATGGAAAACTTGTTGGAAAAAATTTAGACTGTTTCAAAAAATTCTGGAACGTTCTAAAATGTTTCAAAAAATGCTAAAATATTCCTAAAAATTTTCAAAACTCGTTGGAATATATTAAAAACTCGTTGGAAAAAATTTAGATTGTTCCAAAAAAATTCTAGAACGTTCTAAAATGTTCTAAAAAATTCTAAAATGTTCCTAGAAATTCTCAAAACTCATTGGAACAGATTGAAAACTCATTGGAAAAAATTTAAATTGTTTCAAAAAAATTCTGGAACGTTCTAAAATGTTTTCAAAAATTCTGAAATGTTCCTGAAAATTCTTAAAACTCGTTGGAACACATGAAAACTTGTTGAAAAAAATTTAGATTGTTCCAAAAACATTCTGGGACATTCTAGCTTATGCCAAATATTTCCAAAATGTTCCTAAAAACTCCGAGGACTTGTTGAAACAGATTGAAAACTTATTAAAAAAAATTTAGATTGTTTCATAAAAATTCTGGAACGTTCTTAAATGTGCCCTAAAATTCTGAAATGTTTTAAAATGTTCCTAAAAATTCTCAGAAGTCATTGAAACAAATTAAAAACTCGTTGATAAAAATTTAGATTGTTCCAAAAAAAATCTGGAACGTTCTGGAATGTTCCAAAAGATTTTAAAATGTTCCTAAAAATTCTCAAAACTCGTTGGAACAGATTGAAAACTGGTCGGAAAATTTAGATTGTTTCAAAAACATTCTGGAACGTTCTAAAATGTTCCCAAAAATTCTAAATTGTTTTTAAAAATTCTCAAAACTCGTAAAAACAGATTGGAAAATTGTTGAAAAAAAATTAGATTATTTCAAAAAAAAATCTAGAACGTTCTAAAATGTTCTAAAAAACTCTAAAATGTTCCTAAAAATTCTCAAAACTCATTGGAACACATTGAAAACTCACTGGAAAAAATTTAGATTGTTTCAAAAAAATTCTGGAACGTTCTAAAATGTACCCAAAAATTCTGAAATGTTGCTAAAAATTCTCAAAACTTGATGGAACACATGGAAAACTTGTGTTTTACATTGAACCTTTAGGAAAAATTCCTGAAAATTTCAACTTTTTACTCACTTTAGTTTTTGAGTGAAAAAATTATGACTCCATTGATAATAACTCAATCGCTTTGAGTTTTTACATATGATTTTCCCGTTATCCATTACCCCCCCCCTCTCCCCCCCCCCCCAGATAATCATGGTCTCTGTTTGTTTATTTTTTTAGGAACATCAAAGTAGGCTTTGCATTATGTTTTAAATATAATGCTATCTTTCCCCTTTATCGTTTCAAATCCATTAGACAGAGATGAATATATTCTGTAACTTGATAATATTTTTTCTAATGATCAAAGTATGCTTTGAAAGTATCGAATTTGTGCACTCTGAATGTATTTACTTCCTTTTCTATCAGTGTGTAAAGGGAAAAGATAGAAATAAAAAACTGATAAGTGACGCAGGTTTTCACCCAAGGTTCCTGAATGTTAATAGGTTGTCTTGTTGTCTAATAATGGTGAACAGATAACGTCATCAGGAAGATCTAATGGAGATTTACATTATGTTTAGGCTTCCAGATGACGTCACAAAAGTTATCAGGCAACGTACCCATTTCAAACAACCTTGGTTTCCACCTACCCTAGACCCTGCAGACTTAGGAATTTTTGTTTTTCCCAAGAAAATAGAAAAATGGAATAATTCTTGTAGCTATTCTGTAAGAAAGTTAGGAAAAAGTGAGACTAACATTTTCAATGGAATTTAATATACAAATCACTAATTATTTTACTGATACATTCAAAAACCTCTTAGGATCCCCAAATTTCGGTTGAATCTTGACATTCACCCTTTTGCCATTCAAATTGTCCACCTCCAAAAAACTGTTCCAATCTAGTAAAAAGTAAAATCCACTTTTTGGAGTTGGAGTAATAATTTCAGTTTTGGTTGTAGCTGTTTCTGGTTGGCCTATAATAAGAGAAAAAAAATAAATTTTGATGATCTATATCTTATTCACAATTTGTAGTCCAAAAGTACAGGTAAATTTATCAGCTTTACCTATCAAATAGCATTAAAAGGTGATACATTTTACCTGTATCTTTGGACTACAGATTGTGAATAGATGATAGTGATGATTTTTTGTTTGCTTTACCTCCAAATGAATCTAACAAATCCTGATTATTCAAGTCGCGTTTCATTCTTCTATTTCGAAATCGTTTTACCATCATTCTGGGTTGGAAATGGTTGGCCATGTAATCATGCACCGGATCAGGTCCACTGTTTATATACAGTGGGACAAAATTATTATATTTCAGAACGCTATTTGGATGCTGACGGTATTGGTAGCTGTATTTTAATGCTGGCATGAATTTGAAGAAAATATTATAGTTTTGGCCTAAAGTGGTTTCCGAGAGAATAATGAGGATGATGAAGGCTCGAAAGGTTTTGGAAATCTGAAATACAAACAGAGTTTCTAAGCGTTTGATTGGTGGGTTATGGTTGATATATTAACCATAAATGAAACGTCATTTGTCAAACAATTAGTCTTAGATGACGTTAAATGCATTGTTTATGTGTCAACAGTGACTGATATTGGTGAAAACTGTACTTAAGTATATAAATTAAACAATTTCTTACCATTTTTCAAAATATTATACAACTGACTTTTTCCAATAATCACAAAACAAAATATTTTAAAAATCGCTATACGTTAGTGCACAAAATGACTTGTTTCTCGTGCTGACACTGAACAATTGAATAGGTTAAGTATACTCCTACCTGAAAATGATCGCCAACTTTATTATAATTTTATATTATGTCCTATTGTAAAAGTCGTTATTTTCTGTTGACAAAAGCGAACGACCCTTTCAAATGGCGCCAGAATGGTCATTATTGATGTTATTGCTATTATTGGTAGGTATTTGACTTTTGGCTTATTTATTTAATAATTATTTTATTTACGACGTCGGAACTAGACCCACTGTATCTTAATATCTATTTCATATTAATAAATAATTATGTATTGAAACAAAGTAATACTCGTTTGAGTGTTTGAGCATCCAGTATTTTTGGATACTCGAGTAAAAAATTGAATTCCATATGAATAAATGGTTGATATGAGTACCTGTACCTATAATTTTCAATATAGGACTAAACCACAAATACATTACTACAATAATTTTAACAATAATCTCTCAAATCCAGTATTAAAAAAAATTGTAACAGGAAAAAACCAGCTAATTTACTTAAGATATTTTAACAGTGGTGTATTAAAATACATACTTTATTTATTTATTTCGAACCTGAAAGTTTAATTACTTGACAGTTTCTTAGAAATAGCAATAATAGCATATTATTACGTTATGTGATTTTTTACGATTACAATAACCTCCAGACGCGTCTTAAATATTATAGTCGATAAAAGCCGGCGACAATTCCCAAACGCTGCATAAGGAGTTGCAATTTCTCTGAAAATGTCATGCCAGGGTCATTCGATAGTGGCAACGCTCTCATAAAAACGGCAACGTCAACATATTTTCAAAGATTTAAGGCGTCAATATTAAGTTGGATATTAGTACATATATCCGTCAGGGTTGCCAGATTTTCATTTTGGAAAATCGGGACAGCGGGAAAGTCGCCAAAAAAAAATAAAAAAACAATATAGGTATAACGAATACAGCCTAAAATGTTTGAAAGCAGGCAATTCACAATTTCTCTAGCCGTTCGGCGTTGATCAAGGGAAACGCAGCCTAAAAGGGTCTTGTCGACCGGAAATCGGGATATATTTTCTTACATTTTCAAAAATCGGGACATTTGGCATTCAATTGGTGAATCGGGACGGTTCGGAAATATTTCTAAAAATCGGAACTGTCCCGCCTAATCGGGTGGTTTGACAACCTTGGCTGTAGTATCAGAGCACTAGAAATTTTAATAATCGAACGCGAATGAGCGTGCATTAAGCACACTTTTTAAATAAACGAACGGTAATTTCAAGTTCGGAGAAGTAGATTCAAACTTCGTGAAGTTGGCTACAAGTGGTAGTGGTGTTGCCACATCAAAATTTCCAAAGATTGCTAATTATGACATTGAAAATTGGAAATTTTTGCTAGAAAATTACGTAAACTCAAAACCTCGAACTTTAAAATCAGTTTTCCCGCTCGAAAACGGCCTGGAAAAGCGGAAAATCCAAAGAAAAACCAGCCAAAATAACATTCCAAAGCCTACTTGATAAAACTTGAGTTTTCATTACTTACCCCCTTGGAAATTTTTGGCGGGAAATGGAGAAAATTTAAAGCCTCGTATTTTAAACCAGTTTTCTCGACTGAAAACAGCCTGGAAAAGCGGAAAATTCGAGGAAAAACTGGATAAAAATGTGAACACGTCAACTAAAAAATGGCCGACTGTCAAAAGAAAAGTGGCAAATGACATTTCATTACAAGGCCTACTTGACTGAAAGCGACGTTGCCACATTTCAAATAGGAAAAAAAAAGATTTCAAATGGTTTATTGTTTTAAATTAAATTAAACAATCAATTGATAATTATCTTTATAAAATAATAAATTCCCAAAATAATGCAATGGAAACTTATTTTTAATGAAAAAGACATTCCAATGCCTGCTTGATAGTGAGTAAGACAAAGAGGGAGATAAAGTAGGACATAATTTAGGTCTAAAAATTGAAGTTTTTGGTAAAAAAATGGAGCAAACCCAAAGCCCTGAGCACTGCCCTTGAAATCATCTTTTTCCGATTAAACAGGCCCTGGAAAAGCGGAAAATTTTTAAAAAATTTAACATTCCAAAGCCTACTTGATAAAACTAAATTTTTTCTCACTTGGAAATTTTTGGCACAAAATGTAAAAAAACCAAAGCTTCATATTTTAAATCGGTTTTCTCGACTCTATAAGCCCTGGAAAATCGGGAAATTCGAGGAAAAACTGGATAAAAATGTGAATACGTCAATTAAAAATGGCCGACTGTCAAAACTGGTAAAAATTACATTATTACAATGCCTACTGGCCTCGCGTTCGGTATTTTGCTCATAGAGCAGACCTTGCTGAAGCCAGTGTTGCCAGATCTCACGATTATTCGTAAGATTACACGATTTTTGTCAGAATTTCACAATTTCACGAATAAGGTAAATAGCAATTCTCACAAATTGTAGTAGTACAAATCAGTAATTCAATATAATATTTAATTAGGCTCTCCAAACCACGTGATTATTCAATATGGCGTTTGTGGAAAATTTGACGATTTTTTGTTTATCTTGAGTTTATTTGGAATATTTTCGAGCAAATTACAGTTTGTTATAATATATCCCACGGAAATTAGACTTCCTCTGCGGAATGAGTTCGAACAAGCTTGTTGCGGAAATAACCCACAACAAGTTTAAAATGTTATTATTTGTAGTTTATCAATATAATCTCAATTTCTATTATTTATCATAAAAATAATATTCTAAAAAAAGAATCCTGTAAAACTGGCAACAGCAGCCCTTTTGAATCGGTAAAATTACAGATTTCTTCATTACCCTATGAGCAATGGATCTATTTTGTTGTTGTGATTGGTCAGTTGCCACCCAACATCCCTGATTTATGCGACCTGCTCCGAAAAAGGCAGTCGACTCGACGCACGGTACACAACAGTAGTAATCAAGAAGCAGAAGAGTAAGCAAAGACTCTGCACCCTCTCGCCTCTGAACGCTCTACAGAGAAAAAAAACCCCCAGAAAACCCCCGTTAGTACGCGAATTATAGTAAAATACTACTCCCAGTGTCTCAAGGCCTGACATGGTCTATATTATCAACGATATTATTGATTACAATTCATGTAATTAACCCCTAAATTGTTGCAAGTCATCTCGGACCTAGCAAAATTCTCTACTACGCCTGTTTAAGGTTATTCCTGTCTCACTCTCGACGGGCTTCAACTCTGTATATCATTGTGTTCTCTCTCTTAGTGGAAAATCCCTTAGCTGACAGTGCAAATTACTACGAATAGTGATAAATGGATAAATAATCACTATATGGATTTACCGGTATGAACTGGATTAAGCAAGTAAGACCGTTTCAATTTCTCAAAACAGTCGAACAATAAATTAATAAATACTGAATACTGATTCGGTTGAAATGCACTATAAATTGAAGTGTTTGTTCTAACCTTTAATACAGAAATTTGGTTTTCACACTCGTGAAATGAACATTAGTTTGTAAATTTGTATATAGAAACTGAGCATATATATAGACTTTTCTTGCACTTATTGTTTACACACTTCAACAGAAAAGTGCTCAAATTATTAACTCTCAATAAACAAAAGAACCTTCAAGGATTATAAACATTTTGTGAATACAGTGAGCTGATTGAAGTTCACGAATTATTTGTGTTGTGCTCTCGTAAATTTAAATTAGTTAATTTGTGTTCTCGTTCTTTGAACATTCAACCATAAATGATATTATTATTATGAAATTTCACTATTTCTTATAAATCAAGATACTTATTTACTCGCTTATTTACTTTAGATTAGTATAAAATTTGTAGTTCGACTGGACGTCCAAATAGGAATTATTAGATAGGACTTGATTGCTGATTAAACCGAATTAACTTCATTTATTAATTAAATTGATAACTATTCTATTTCAGCGTTTTATTTGTATAAATGAGAATCAAGGCACCCCTAGTTCAATACAAGGCTTAAATGATCCAACACCTAATGGTTAATTTTTACAGTCAGTCAAAGTAAAAACTTTTGACATCCCTGGTGCGGTAATGACTAGAGTCCACAAAAGGGTAATAGCTAGTTCCGTCACAAAGCTGAATTTTTGCCGAGACCTTTGTTTTGATTTTCTAATGAAGCACAAAAAAATCGAATATGTCTACCTTTGTGCGTCTTGAGATATCGAAGGTCAAAGGTCACGAAAATCGGCTTTTTGCGGAAATCTCGCTTCCAGTGCATCTGACGTCGAACAACCCAAAACAAAACTTACGTAAAATAGTATTTTCTACAAAATTATTCTTATACATTTTTTTGAACGACCAACCGTTTTCGAAATATAGCGTGATAAAGCGGAAGGGCGCATTCAAAATAGGTTATACTGTATTATACAGGGTTGCAACTGATCAAAAATGCTAGGGTATATAGAGGAACCATAGAGAAGCAATTTGAGATAGGACACTAATGGTCGGAAGTGCGTCATTTCCAAAATACAGGGTGTTAATTAATCAAGACAACCCATCTTTCATATCATTTGAAGGGCTAATGCCAGGCAGTTCAAATTTTCAGGGATTATTGATGTGGGAATGATATTTAAAAATTCGTATAATGCATCCCCATTCTCTACCTGGAACCATGCCAAAAAAAAAAAAAAACATTTTTTTAAAATTTTGTTCCTTTTTTTTTGGGGTAGTTTTAGATATAAAATGGGGGTGCATTATACGAATTTTTAAATATCATTCCTATATCAATAATCCCTGAAAATTTGAACAGCCTAGCATTAGCCCTCCAGATGATATGAAAGGGCGTTGTTTAAATTTCAACACCCTGTATTTTGGAAACGACGGACTTCCGACCATTGTTGTCCTGTCTCAAATTACTTCTCTATGGTTCCTCTGTATACCCTAGTATTTTTGATCAATTTTACGGGAACACCCTGTATAATACAGTAACACTTATTTTGAATATGCGCTCCCGCTTTATCACGCTATATTTCAAAAACGGTTGGTCGTATAAAAAAATGTATACGAACAATTTTACGTAAATTTTGTTTTGAGTTGTTCGACGTCAGATGCACTGGAAACGAGATTTTCGCAAAAAAACCATTTTCGTGACTTTTGACCTTCGATATCTCAAGACGCACAAGGGTAGGCATATTTGATTTTTTTTTTTGGGCTTCATTAGAACATCAAAACGAAGGTCTCTGCAAAAATTCAGCTTGTTCGGTCTCAT